ATACCATCATTAACACCCCAACTCGCTAACCCTTTTTCCAATTTTATTCTTTACATGGATAATCTGTTTCCATTTATAGTCCCACTTATACCTTCCAAAAATCTCCAGATTTCTATTTGCCAGCGATTTTGTGTGGGTGGCAGTGCTCCCGTCTCTTTCTGCTTTCTATATCTTTTCAAATCTGAATGGCGCTTGCGCCGAAAGCTATTGAAAAGTTCTTACTCTGCGTATATGGGTGTGTGTGTGTGTGTCTTGGATATTTTGCCAAGGTAAAAACACACATGCACACCCATACAGAGCGAATTTATTTTTAAAATTCGTTGAAAAAAAAAAATTATAGAACTTTTCCTCTCAGATCATATAACACTTCGAGAATTGGTTGAATATGTATGTATATATTCCTGTCTGGCATAGTTGTTGCATTTGTTGTTGTTGCTGGTGCTTATCCTGTTGTTGTAGTTGCTGTTGAACATTGTTGTTGTCGTTGGCAATGCCTGGGCGAATTTTTTCAATTTATATTTAGCCTTTAGCCATCAAAAAAAAAAATTAAAAAAATATTTTTTGAAAAAAAAATAAAATGTTTTAAATTGTTTTAGAGTTTTTCGATTGGCTTTCAAGTTTTTTTTTGTATCACACTATTCGTTTGTTGATTGCACTTTAAAAAAATTCAAAAAAAATATGTTATATAACACTACAATTTTCCAATCCTTGGCTTTATTTTGTTGAGTTTCGGTTCGTGGTCCGTTACCAAAGGATTTGGTTTTCTTTTCTTTAATAACTTTTTGATTTTCAACACACTGTTTTATTTGATTTTTCTTTCTTTTTTTTTTTGATGATGCAGCAGTTGAAGGAGATGTGAAGCAGCAGTAGAGCAGAAACAGAAAAAAAAAAAACTTACTTAGGGAGAAAAACAAATTGAATTGAAGTCCGAGCAGCTGACGTCGTAGGAGCGAATGCTGCGGTTCGACTAAACAGACTGACGATGAAAAGCGCTGCTACACGTTATGTTAAAGAATTTTTCGTCGCGATCGCGGAAAAGCCATTTTCACGCACACACCGATCGCCTTACTATATAGCATATAGCGACGAATGGGTGCAAGGAGGCCAGATATATGCCAGATATCTCTGGCCGATGTGGCAACAAGTGGGTGGTGGGTGCTGGGTGGGCATGGGGATTTTTCAGGTGGGCTGCAGCTGAAACATAAACTTCTACACGCACACTGCCAACCGAGTTTTCCAATTTTCCATTTTGGCCAGAGCGAGATGAGGCACACTATATGGCACACGCACATAACTAGATCATAAGTATATAGCCATATTGCTATATAGACGCACGGAGCGTTGGCGGCTTTTTACACATTTGTTTTTGGAATCAAATATCGTAGAACATAAATTTCACAGCCATTAAAAAGTCGGCCTGCATATATCGTTGGCATGTACGCGTCGATATATATGGTGGATATAGCTTAGATTCCTCAACGGATCGCTGCAGCATTTGAACCCCAGAGTGCACGCCCTACAAATTTTCACCTCCCCTATATTTATATATATTTATTTACCCCGTCTATATCTCGATCGCACTGCTGACGTCGAACGGCCTTAGGTGGCCCCATCGCATTGCCATTTGTCTAACACTTGAATCTATTCGTCATTGTTCCGATTTTCTTTTTTTATTTCTCTCTTTTCGCTTTGTTATTTTTTATTTTCCTTTCTAATGGATTCTTTCGCCAAAAAGATCTCGATACCCTTACGCGTCTTACATCCCTTGGATTTCAAATCAAGAGTGGACACTTTTAAATGTATTGTAGGTCAATGGAAAATTGGCTTGTACTGCCCCTTTAAACCTATTTAGCCAATTGGTGCTGAACAAAAATCCATTTATTAAAATTTTAGCAGGGTCTATTTTATTATCTGTTTCACATAAAATACTTTCATTGGGTCGGCTGTATCTTACGTTTAAAAGGGTTTACAATTTTTCACTCATTTTAACACCATTTATAATAATAATATCATTAGTATAGGTTTACAATTTTGTTTAACATTTTAACATTTTTTATAAATTAAATAATTGGTCACCCAATACCACAATTAGTTTTTTCTCATTTCAGAATAAAAATTTTATAATCTGCCTTTAATTAAAAAAAATAAATGGAATATTACAAGGTTTTTACGTTGAATACAATTTACTTCAACTTTTTATTGTAAATAATTTTTAGTAATTAGTAAACATTTACGCAAAAAAATTAATTTCTTAAACTGCTTTGAAAAAGAATATTAAGTTTTGTTATTAAAAATTTATGTTGGGCAATAGTTATATGTTAATATGTGTTATGTTTATATAAAATTATGTTGCTTATGTTCAAAAGAATATCTAATAAGACCTAGATCATTCTGTAAAGTGCTTATAATAATTGAAACGTGAATAACATTTTTAAATGATAGATACAACTTGGGTTTTGTGACATCCCCAAACTGTGCTTTAAAAAGTAGTAACTGTCAATTCAATGCAGAATTGTGTATATTTTTATAGTATACCTCTTTATATAAATAAAGACTTGATATATAAAATATGCACTTATTCTTTTATTTTCAAATAATTGGAATGTATATATTTCTTTCTGCTTTTTCAAAAAAAATTAGATTTGGGTTCAACAATGTCTACAATAATTATTTAGTATGAAGGGTTGCGCCACAATTAATTAGTAAATAAATCTTGTGCAACCGATAGAATAGAAATACGAAATGTGAGATAACTTATTATATTATGAATTTAATTTTCCTGTGCAGTAAAACAACTTTACTGTCCTAGAGTTTCGCCTTTTGTTTTGATTTTGTTTTTGGCTGCTGAGTCTCTTAAATTTAGAACATTTTTGTATGTGCACCTATGCGAAATGCACACACATCAGGTATATATTATATATGGGTAGTCCGGTCCGGTCTAGGTATTATGCACTTCTTGCCAAATCCTATAGAATCGCATTGGGACACAGGTGGGCAGGTCGAATTATCTGGGATATAGTGCATGAAACGATTCCTGGGGAATGGGCCAGAATAAGTTCAACACATCTGTAAATGGTTTGCAAAGCTATTTGGTTGCCATCTGGCTGGATTCACAGAAGATCTTCTGTTCAATAAACAAGCATGAGGCTATGGCAAACATCGGGTCATATACTATAGTATAGCTCGGTAATCCGTACATCGTAAGTACGGACATGTGCAGATGTGGGCGTGAAAGTGGGTTTCGGGTATGCCTTCAACTAAATTTCAATTCGCATCATCTTCTGAAAATCAGAATATCTGAAAATCAGGGAATAACAAATAGCACAGTTTCGAATTTTTGTTGTTCTATTTTTGGCCATTTTGTGTGGGCGCTTTCGTCTGTAGCCTTCGGTCTTTAGTGCCGATCGTATGCACGAAGACCCCCGATATAAATATATATATTCGTGTATATATATATATATATATATTAAAGTATGCGCGTATATGTATTTGTCTAAATATCTTCTATATGTCTATCTATAGGTTAGCTTTCTGGGGCGATGTTTACGGGCGACTGTGGGTAATATCTGCATAGATCAGGAATAATGTTTATTATCCAAGATCTGGATATTATTTAATTTCAGAAAGGTTAACACAAAATAATTATCAATTGAATCTTGTGACGCGTTTGTAAGGATCTATAAATAATTTGGCTACCTGCAAGCATTTTTCCCAGCCAATTGTTGAAAATAGAATCATGTAATGTTGAGGTTTTAAAATTCAGTTTTTTTTTAACTTATATCGTCCTATTATTATATTTATATAGGTTAAAATCATAAATTAATAAATAATTCCAGTCTTAGACATACTTATTGATTGCCTACGGTGCCCCCCAAATTTTCATTGAATAATATTGGCTCGGATCAGGTCAGGAAAACATAATTTGTAAAGAACAAACAACTCGAGCGTGCCAATTTTAGATTCTATATATTCAATGTTCGATTTAAAAATACGCTCTAACTAAATTAAATGAAATGAAAACGAACAAAATTAAGAAAAGCTAAAAAAAAGAAAAACAACGGAAAAATCCATAAGAAAAAACACATAGAAGAAACACCGAAAAGAAAACAGCAGAAAATATAAAAACGTTTAAGAAAGCCATCATACACAGGCGATTTTTCTATGTGGTACCAAAGCTATGTCTACTATATGTATAATATTACACGTTTATTTTCAGAATTTGTTTTCGATCTAAATTTTGGCTTGTTGACACTTGGAAACTTATATTCCAAATTAACATCCAATGGTTAGTAATCAAGAAAATTCCCCTCCAGAAGTTTGTGCAAGTCTATAGTAATTGTAATTTATATTTTTTTCTAACCTATTTAACTTATTTAAAATGCAATAAAGTGTGTTGTAAATAAATAAATAAATAAATATTTTCGTTACTTTTCTAAGTTTGAAGTCCGATTTCACAATGTAATACCTTTAAACGGTAGTATGTACTTTAAACCTCTAACAGCCTTTTGGCCATTTTATGCAAGTTTTTCCAAAAGAAAAGTGCGAAAAAATGAAAAAATCGATTTTGTAAAAAGTTCAAGGGGGGACCCCACAAAAATTTCGAAAAAATGTATTTTCTGAAATTCAAAAAAGCTGGTATGCAACTTTGTTATAGGGCTAGAAACATGGAAGAAAGTACCTTTCCCGTACCTCTCAACAAGAAAATAGTTTATTTTTGTTATCTTAGAGTTTTAGATGATTTTATGAGCGAACAAACTAAATTCAAGAAAATCGGTGCTTGTCTATTTTGACATCTTAAACCATTTTGAATAAACCCAACTAATACTTTTTAGTTTACATCTTCCATCGTAAACCTACTTTTAAATAACATTGTCATAATTGTTTCTAATGAGCAAGTTAAAGTTCTTATTAAATACTGTTAAACAACAAATATTTCAAATTCAAATGTCACCGCCATTCCATCAACGACTTATCGCACTTTGTGCAATCGATAACAGTCTTGCGAAAATCAAGTCTATCGATAACCGGCGAATGCGCATCTAATTGGAGTAAAAATTAAACACAAAAGATTGTTTTTTAATGCGGAATTAGCCAAGCTGCGGAAAAACAATAGCGGTTAATTGCGAAAACGAGTGCACAGTGGGCGGAGCAACAACAACTGCGTGGCGTGGAGACACGAGTGCGAGCGAGAGGGCTGATGCGGTAGTGGCCCATCCGATTCCCTAGGATTTTTTTGCAGGCAGAAAGGAACCTTTTTTTTTTTTGGAGGACAACGCGAGCTCGGCGTGCTCCGGCAAGGACAACGATGGCCAGCGAGCCCGAGAACAAGCCGCCCATACTGCACATACTCGTGGTGGGCTTCCACCACAAGCTGGGCTGCCAGGTGGAGTTCTCGCACCCGCCACTGATTTCGGGCTCCACGGGACGCCACGAGTGTCCCTCCGGCTGGAAGTATCTGCCCACTCTGGCCCTGCCAGACGGATCGCACAACTTTACGGAGGACACGGTGTTCTTCAACCTGCCCAGTTTGTACGAGCCTGCAGCGAGTATCTATGGCGTATCCTGCTACCGACAAATACCCGTGGAGAAGCTGAAAATCCGCACGGCGGACGTCACACGCAGCACGGTCCAGAAGTCCGTGTGCATCCTGGCCCGCCTGCCCATCTACGGGTACATTGAGGTGAAGCTGGCGCTGATTGCCGACGCCTTTTTCGATCAGGGCGACTTCTCCGGCACAGAACTGCTGGTCAAGGCCTACCAGCAGCTGAACGCCTGCCTTCAGGATGACGAATCGCGTCGGCCACTGCGCCACTTCCATGTCGGCTTGTCGTTGCGGGAGATAGTGCTCCATTGGCGCCACAAGTCGCTCATGCTGTTCAAACTTTTGCTCCTGCAGCGACGTGTGGTGTGCTTCGGCTCGCCCGTGCGCCAGATGTGCGTCCTCATCCTGGGCATGGCCTCGCTGGTGCCGCGGCTGCTAGAGAAGGGCTTCCAGGAGGTGGCCTGTGTGCGCACCTCCCGACCTCTGTCGCCCATGCCCGACTTCACGGACTCGCTGCAGCGGGAGGCTCAGGCGGAAGCAGAAGCCGAGGCCGAGCTAGAGGCAGTGGCCGCCGGCCGAGGAGTTGGTCATGAGGAGCAGAAACTCACGCCGGAGAGTGCCACGGCGGCGGAGGGCGAGGCCGAGGAGCTGGCCTTTGTCTCATCCGCTGCCTCGGCGGGCGAAGAGCAGGCCAGCGGCGACGACACCTCGCCCCGTTCCACGCCCAACTCACAATCGCAGGACTCCTCGAACGGCAGGAACAGCTCGCTGACCCGAGAGGCCAGCGTGGACACACTGGCGTGTGAGTAATGCTTAAGGGATTGGCCAATAGAAGGCTGAGCCCCAGAAACAATGACATACCCACTTGTATATTGTTGTGTTATCTTAGGTTTTCGAAGTAACTCAGATAAGGTGTTGTAACTTTACAATGCTTCTTGTATTATTAAAATCACCTTTTTCATATCTTATTTTGAGCTTGAGTCAGAGGCGGATTTACAACATCACAAAAATCAACACGTCTTCTAAAGAGTACTAAAAATTACATTTAATTATCCATAAATCTTTCTTTATGGTTTTATTAATTGAAACTCTTCTTTTTACAGCAAACCTCGCCGCCCTGTGCGCTGTAAATCCGGATGAGTATCGCGCGCCGGTCAGCATCTTCGCCAGCGGCAATCTCTGCCTGCCGTATCTGTCGCTGCCGTACATGGACCTGCTTAGCGATCCCATGGTGCTCTCCTATGTCATCGGCACCTCCAACGTGCTGTTCCAGCAGAAGCGTCAGCTGGCTGACGTTTTGGTGGACATCGAGGCGGCCAATCTGGACTCGCACGATCCGGAGCTGAGGCGTCAACTTGTGCTGAGCACTGAGGACCTGCGCTACATGGACTACATCATGAAGCACGTACAATCGCCCAAGGAGGATGCCGAGGGCAGCGAGTATTGGATCCGGGAACAGTTCCAAGGCTACATTCTGGCCCTCCTGCGGACGGCCGTGGCTCCTGGTAAGCGGTTTCTTAATTGAAAGTGTGTTCGATGCGATGGTTTAAACGCTTTCTTTAAATACAGATGCCACGCCCAAGGACAACGATCATTTCAATGCGCATTTCATGGCCGCCTTTAAGCGCACTCAATGCTTTCAGGAGTGGTATGATGTGAGACCCGAACCCGAGTTCTTTGAAGCCCTGCCCGCTGGTCATCCCTTTGCCGGAACTTTGTCCGTGGCGGATATGAAACTAAAACTTGCACAGTGAGTTACCATGAGTAAAACCGATAGCCTTTTCTGTAAAAAAAACCTCGTAGCCTTTTTAAGTACACGTTATTAGCTGATTATATTATCTAACAATCTCATTCAAATGCATAGCTTTTGAGCCGCAATCTTAAATCAAACTAAACAAACTTGATCTCAATGTTAAACAGATTGTAAATACACACTATTTTTTGATTTAATAGAACCATGCAGAACAGCGAGAGCGGGCGGAAGATCAACCAGGCGGTGAACACCACAAGTCGAGCGGTGGGCGGTGCGATTTCGCAGGCCAAGGGCGCCTTCTCCAGCTGGTGGTCATCCATCACAACGCCGCCAGCGAATGCCAACACGTCAGCGACAAACAGCACCAATGGACAGGAGGGTGATGCGAGCGAAGGAGCCAGCGCGCAAGAGATCTCAGTTACATTCCAGAACCACAAGGACGTTGAGGACCTGGACGTGGCGGGGGTCAGCATTCACCTGGCTGGCCAGGAAGAGGCACACGAGTCGCACGAGTCCCAAGTCACGAGTTGTGAGCAACCGCAGGGCATTGTTGAGATCGGACGCGAGGCGGAAATGCTGGACAAAGCTGAACCGCCGGAGGAAGCCAAGGTCTCGGCCGCAAGTCAAGCCATTCGACCAGGATGTGGCGGAGATGTGGCCACCTCAGCTGTGGAGCGCAGCAGTGGCGATGTCTTCATTGTCTGAGGATATCAGCACTATCGAGAGCATTGTATAAAATTGTTCTAAGCTAAATGATAATTATTTATTACGCAACAAATTGTCTCAATGTTGAATTTATATTTCCTACTCGTGCTCGTCTCGTTTTGTGTATACCCAAACTCTAAAGGAAGGTTGACTTGTACACCCAATTGTAGGGATTAAATCTAGGGACAATTAATTGCCATATTGAATTCAATTAAAAAGAAAATTAAGTAAATTGTATACCTATACAAATATTAAAAGCTAAGGAACTTATCTTTTCAGGGAAACATAAAACACTTAAAAACAAATATATGTCTGTATTTTATTATATGTTGATATATGTATATGTAATGCATACTTTGAAAATGTGTAAAATTCAATTTGTACTTAAAATTGTATTAAATATATATTATAAAAAATGTATATGCCCTATAAAAAATATTTTCAAACATGTAAGATTAGTATGGCATAGAATTGTCTCTTTATTGCTTTCCCCCTGCAAGTTTTGGGGTCACAAGTCGATACCACCCTGACCTACACTCAATTGGCCAAAAGATAATATTATTTGATATTTATAGATGCGTACACCTAAGTTATCCTTGCCGTCTCCACCCACCACTCAGTGTATATGTATAACCATGTAAAGCTAAACCGTTCCAAGTGCAATTTGTAATCCAAAAAGACAGCGGAGATCCGTAACAAAAGCAGAATTCGTGTGGCAATAAGCAACTAAAGAAAATGGGATATTATGGAAAGACCCGACCCGACCTTGTCCAGGGCTCGCTGTGTCCCAATCTATTTACCTAATCCAAATGTAATCCAAAATAAATACATTTCATAATGCATTTAAACTGCTTTGTTTTACAGTTACTAAAAATAATTGAATAAAAACTATTAAGGCTTAGTTTTTGGTATGGATTGGAGGAGGGGAGGAAGGGAAGGGAGACTGATGCTGATGCAGCAGTCTTTCAGTTTCGACATAAAATAAAAATAGTATTTATGACTGCTATAAGTCTTTTTCAATTTGCCAAGCACCATTTGCACTGCAACAGCATTTGAATATGAATCGCTATTTAAGCTTTATGGCCACCTTTTTATTTTTTTTTTTGGCCAAATTTTATGGTCAATTTCTTTTCTAAATTTATATATGGAATTTAATTTGTATCTACAGAATTCCGTGCACACATACTCGTACTGAAGCAGAACACCAATTTTTGCGCATCTCTTTCTAACGCATGTTTTCTCATTAAAATTCAATTCGTCCCACTGTATGTATATCTTTTTACCCACAATTTAGCACAAAAATAAATTGGAACAAACTTCATATGCTTAGTTAGTTACCAAAAGCATTAAAATGTAAATGCATATAAGCAACCATTTAGCATTTATAAGAAAAACAACTTTTGCGTGATGAACGATTTTGTTTGATTTCGTTTATTCCAACATATTTATTTTATTGGTATTATTGTTTCAAGTATTACACAATATTGATGCCTTTTCTCTTACGTTTTCATTAATTTATAATTATTATTATTGTTATAACTAAATATCGATCACATTTCCTTTCAGAACGTCTCTCATTCTCATCGTTTTATTCCCTGTTCACTTTTTGTTGCAGAACGTTGCAAACTTCTGCATACACTTCCCATCGTCCTAACTAATTTGCAATAATAAATATCGTTTTTTCGCGCGTTAATTATTGCTTTTCTTTCTCATTCGCACGGGGGCTTTGGGGAAATAGAAAAGGGACAATGAGAAAAGTAATATTTAAAAAAAAACACACACAAAATCGAAACCCAGACTTGCAAAAATCAAATCTGCGCTAATACTACATAATTGGTTGATACGTGTAAATTAAGGAATTAAGTAGGTTCTATTTAAGACTATATTTTGCAATTATTTTTTGGCTGCTTAAGGTAAACCAGAGCGAAAGAATCAAGAACCGAAGTGGGAGAAAACAATTTGCGTGGCGTAAATGTTCTTTTAGTTATTCTTCGTCTTCTTTTTTCTCCCTATACAATGTATATATTTTTTTTAAATGTGTATAATATTGTCCTAAAAGCCTTAAAAAATATTACGCAGCAGGCCATGCACATCGTATACATGCCTATATATAGCCTGCATTTATACCATAATCGCACAAAAATTTATCGGTAGAGCAAAAGGAACACAAGCAAAAGCCATGTGAAGAAGGACACAATGTAAAAGGATATCATCTCTCTCGATGCCTCTCGCCTCGAACATTCGACATGCATTATTAGAAGTTAGTTCGCTTTGTTTATATTGGTTTCCGTTTTCTTTATCGTTTTCGTTTCCGTTTCCGTTTTCGTTTGGTGTTGGGAGGTTTCTCTCTTTTTTTTTTTTTTTGGGAACTGGAGGCTATACATACGTACAATTTCTATTTTTCTATATATTTCTTTTAGGTACATAACAGTTCTTTCTTTATATTGTGTGGTTGTGTTTGCGGTGTGTGGCTGCCTTGTTGTTGATTATCGTTCTATATTCTCCATTCTCCCAATCTCGTTTCGTTGGCTACTCTAGTTGGGTGCATTGAGGGTCTGCATTCCGGATCCATACTGCATGCCCACCGACATGGTGAAGAGCCAGGCAACCGCCAGCAAACTGCTTCCGAGCAGATCACCCAAGGCCGTTAGATAGGGTATGGCCGAGTTATCCGGATCGATCTTCCACTTCCACATCGCGTGCACAATAATGTGAGCGATGTACAGCAGCAGCATCACCTGAAAAATCGCAGCACATTAGCAATTGTGTTTTGGTTTGGGTGTTTTAAGTTACAAAAGTAATTGTACAATTTGTCAATAGTTTGTGTTTGCGGTGAATTATGAAATATAGTTCCCACTTTTTGTGGTTATACCATTTATTATTAAGAACCTATTGAATTTAATTAAATTAAGCAACTTCGGATTTTGCAGGAATTTAAGAAACTTTTCTACTGTTTGTTACTCCGAAACTCACCTGCACTAAACTGGCGGTCAAGTAGGACAACACAAACACCCAGGTGACCGTCGAGGTGCTGTAGTTGATATAGTCAGCCGCAAAGATGAACAGAATATTGCCGGGGATGGACATGGCAATAAGTATCCTCGCTGTCTTCGCATAGGGAACTGTTTTACAAATAAAAAAAACCTCGGATTAACAACCAATTCATTTGTGAAGTTCAATGAAAAAGTACCTCCTTTGAAGAGCGCCCGCCAGGGCCACTCGAATATCTGCGTGTGCGGTGGTATAATCCCGATAATTGAGCTCTGGTGCAGCATTGTGGATATCTTGCTGGCCTGCACCGACACCAGATTGCCACCAATTCCGTTGATGATCGGTTGGAACACCACGAACCCATTAAACACCTCGACGGCGGCATCCAACACAAGGCCACCCAGACTGCAATGAGATGACAGATCAGTAATCAGTAATCAGTAATAAGTAATCAGTAATCAGTTGAAGAAACAAATCAGGCATCTAAGTTAATGAGACAATAATAAAGATAATCTCTTGCAGTATAAAAAGAATAAGAATATTTTCTATTGTACATTGTAAGTATTAAATACGACTTCCCTCATATGTTTCACTAGATTCAACTTGAGTGCAATCAAGTGTGTGTGTCTCTTGAAGTTCTGTCCCAGCGAATCCCCAAGTCATCGCGAATAATTAAGCCCGGTTATTCAGATCCTACTGCTGATTCTAATTATAAGCGCGCTTGACCCGCCGCCAAACTAAAGTCTCGGACATCCACCCGTGCGAATGTTTCCCATGGTCTTGGTTCTTGGCTACTTATTCCCCAGATTTGTACACAAAAAAACCGTTCAGATAGAATCTCCTGGACATGATTTGGCACAAAATAGCACGGGCTGATATCTATCTAAATATAGCGGGCAACTTAACGTTTCATTTCTGCTTATCATGGCCCCAATTTTCAGGTTTTTTTTGTTTTTATTGCGACTCAAGAGTCCATCATGGGATTGGATCCGATTGAATGGATTGCCGAATGCGCAGTTCTACTTACCCACTTATGCAGAGGGCTGAGAGGACGGGAACCCATCCGCTTTTTAGCACCGGTCGCGTGTACTCGTTCCGCAGCACGATCATCACCCACATGGGCAGCAGCACCAAATAGCAGGTGACCACGATGAACGTGATCCACAGGTGCGTTTCTATTGGGGAAAACATGATTCCATTTAGTAATTTATAAACAGAAATTAAAAAGTAAGTCAGACTTACTGATATGATCGTACAGCAGCGAGGCGATAAAGGAGAGCAAACTGATGGACACCACGTCGCCAATGGAGGCGGCCAGGGGCGTGGCCAGGTTGTCCGGATTGAGGCGATACTTCTGCGAGAAGAGGATCACAGCCACCAGAACAAAGTCTGAAGAAGAAGAAGAAGAGAAGTCATTAGTGAGTGGGGAATATTTTTTTTTTAGGAAATAGGAGAAATCCTACCCAGCACAAAGCACGACGAGGTGGCCGTGAACATGGCCGAGGCAGTCAGCAGCATCATGTTCTCGAAGTAGAACTCCCCAGTCATCGCCGCACCGACGCTCACCGCGAACATGGCCACCAGGAAGGAGGCCACCGTCGCCTGGACCTGAACGAGTGCTATGTTCCCCACTATCATCCGGATCACGCCCTGCCGACTGGTCATGTTGCCCAGGTTCACTTGCGTGGACAGCCGCGAGGCCAGGCACATGTCCAGGTTGCCCTTCAGTCCCAAAAGCGCCGGCACCAGGATGAACAGCTCGCTCACATTCTTGAAGACATACCATTTCTAAAGGAGAACGGTGAATAAGTAAATGAGTTAAATTTTATATTAAATATTTTAATTACCTATATTAAACCCTTTGCTTATCGTTACATATAAGACTTTATTTTCGATACTATCATAGCTAATTACAATTTAAAATAAACCTTTAAATAATAATAAATATTTATTTAAAAGCGAACAATACTGAATTCTTTTTTAATTTTTTACTTTGTGCCAATAACTTTATCTATTACATTATCTTAAATAAACTATAGAAGCCGCAAAGTAATCCTGCCGTAATTAGATTATTTATTTAAAAAATAACAGACCTTCTTTGTCAAACTATTATTCAATGCGTACGTAAATACGCTTTGATTAATTAACACTGTGTCAACGGGTTTATTGATTTCTGCTGTAAATAAACACCTTTCCTCGGAGTGCATCGAATATATAACATTACCCAGTCGCATCTGCATTTACAACCCCGTATAAATCGCCTTAATCCAGCCTCCCTTTTATTAAACCAACATTTTCAGCTCAATTCGGGCATTGGCCGCCTGTAACTGGCTGTGGCTCCAGTTTGGCCCAGAACTTTTACCATCAATTAGCGTGCAAATTAAACATTTACTATCTAACACATTTGTACACTATATATATACTATATACATATATACATACGAGTATTTCGCAGCCATAAATAACATTCTAAAAGGAATTGTGCCAATTCATCAGGTACACAATGGGGGAAGGTTTAAAAATAACATTAGCTCCGTCTGCTTTTTATTTGATTGAGTAAGTGGCTCTTAAAGTCTTCAATCTCAAACAGATCGATTATAGAAAGCGTACTCATCTAAGCACCTGATTTCTAAATTTATTATGTGTTATTGCAAAGGATTATTTATGGAACTGAGCCATAAAGATTCGTTATCTTGTTATCTGCATAATTGCAATGATTTATTGAACCTTTCGAAATGTGAATGTGACATATGTTTATGAAAAAGAGTTTAGCGCGTCAAAGTATCTAATAAATTGGGTCGATTAGGCGCTCATTTGTTAAATTATTTTCGATTAGCCTCCAGATTTGCTAGCCCTTCGCAACGTGGAAATTTTCCCACACGAAATGATAAACGAAGTGAAAAAGTGCAATTAGCTATTTTGTAATTTTCTTTGTGCCTGACTTAGTGTAAATATTTTTTTTTAATAGCCCAACCCCTTGAGCTCTGGCAATCACAAATTTTTACAATTTAATTTGATGCAATTGAGTCTGTCATTTCTGTTTGACTTTTGTTAGGCTCATTGCACCTCAGACACCTACAAAGTCAACTGAAGTTAGATAAACCCCCTTAGACGAAATCATTTTAATAAACGCGTATCGTTCCAATTATTTACATTTGCATTTACCCTTTTAATTTCTATTAAAACTAATTGATTAATTATTTCCATCTGATCTGGATCTTTATAGGTTTGGGAATACCTATCTCAACCAACATAAAACGTTTTCATTGCTTCCATTTTTACTTACATTAAATTCTGTTTTTATTTTAAGAATATACTCTAACAAAGTTTTTTTTTAAATTTTTGAATTTTTTACATTTTCAAAACTATAAGGAAATAGTCACTTAAAGTACAAATTCCTTTGAACAAAATAAAATATTAAAATTTAATTTTATTAAATTTAATTATTTGAATCTACAGCTTTATAGGAATATATACAAGTCTATTTATTAACCAATAATATTTATAATAATTTTATTATTATTTTTCAATAACTGTTTTTTTCGTGGTTACTAGACTTGAATATAAACAACAATACTGATTGTATTTTCTTTTGCCACACATTTTTAATAATGTAACCAATAAATATTAAGATCATAATTATTTTTAAGCAATAAACTCACCTCAACGCGTCCCAGGACAATTCCAGCTCCGATAGTTCCAATGCCGGCGAGGAAGAAGGGGATCGAGACCTGCAGGAGGATGGTTGTCCACTTCTCCTGCTTAATGCCGGGTCGATTGAGCGCCAGCTTCTCCTCGGAGCTGCCATTAATGCCCGCGATGCTGGAGGCATCCGCTGCCACGAGGGCTCCCGATCCGATGCCGCCATTGCCACTACCGCCGCCGCCCGCTCCTCCTCCTCCGCCGCCGCCGCTCGCCGCTCCAGGATCCGGTTCGGAGGATGCTATGGACGTCGTGATGATTGAGCTTAGTGAACCGGTAGTCGAATGTGGTAGGCCCGACAATTTCTCATTGTCGGGATCTGGGATTTGGTTTTTTTTTTTTGTAATGGGAAGAAACGAAAGAAAAGGGATTGCAAGATGCGGGTTAGTTTGGGATCCGGATAAGGTGCCGGATAAGGTGCTCGGGTCTCTCTCTCATACTTTGGTAACTAAATCTATATGCATATATCGTATGTAAGTTTGTGGTGCATGCATTAGCCTAAAAAAGTGCTGGAGTGTGCGTGTGTGGCATGCAGCTAAATTTAGCGGCATTATGCAATTAGCAGGCAATTAATTAACATCGCTATAAATTAAACATATACATATATGCATGTGTCTCTGATTTTCTGTGTTGTATTCATTTCAGTCGTATTTTTCGGCAGTCTCCAGGCGGAGTATTCTTCAAGCAAAACAAAACGAAAAAAAATATATGAATGTAAAAAACTCGTTTTAATAAAATTCTCGTATATTTATTTGCGTTTTCGGTTTCTGTGTCGACTCGTAGCCAAGTTCATAAACCACGAATCGTTCGTCCATAAACAAATTCGCGAGCCGCCGAGACAACGACAATTAAACATCACAAAAATAACAATTAAGAATGTCATAATCCAAGTCGAGTGGGTAGAGACGATTGCCTACCCTTTCATTGTTTTATCAGTGAGTGAAATTAAAAATTAAAGCCATAGTAAAATGTAGACTGAATTAATTATGGGAGTTCTATGGTTTCTACATAATACATTTTGTAGGTTAAGCTACTTTTTATATTTAAAATTCAGTAAGCTTTGCTAATTCAAGAATAAATTGTAATGGTATCATTTTGCAGCAAATTATAGTTTATATTAAAGACTTTTAAAAAGTAAGGTAAAATGTTGTCTGGGATTTTGTATATTATTTTTGTATGAATATTGAAATATGTTGTTTACCATATTTAAGTCTTTGATTTCTAGTTCTTTATGGTAAATTTTGAAGGAGCTCCTCCAGATTTCAAGGTTTTAAATCTAAGACAAAACAGGTTGGTATAAACCAATAACTTCATCATCAAGTTCATCGTGTAACAGTAATTTTTAAGAAACCCCATATACCCCAACAAAATCGAGACTAAAGTTCACGACGATTAGGAGGCAGTAGCTTGGGTTCGAGATGAACCCGAGGTGAGGCGGAGCATGCATGATAATTAGTAAACATTCTGTGTGTTTAACCGCAAATAGTCGAGACATTCGCAAGCCAGGGCGATTATTGCTCGGGATTAGTGTAATATAAAAGGAGTATAAAGAGTATGCATATATGGATACCAAGGCAAATATGTTGTAAAATGAAAAGGTAGACGAGTCTGGGCGCTTAAATGTAAATGTTTGCATATCAAGAGTAAATACAAAAGATAGTTAAGATATAATATCAGCGACAGAGCGAGAGATTGAGAGATTGAGAGAGAGAGAAGGAGCGAAAAAAAATTAAGGAAAGAATCAACGATATATGGTGTTTCTTCAGTGTTTAGTGTGACCAAAACCTCATTATTCCTTGAAAAGACCTATCTACACGAGAGCCGAGCGTTGTTGCCTCTGCTTGGCGTTGTTGTGGAACTTGTTGTTTGTTTGTTTGTTGTTCAATTTTGATCGCATCGAGGGGGGTTTTTATACTTTCACTCACCGTTTCCATTGAAAATGGTAAACAATCTGTATTTATCATCCGGTGCCACATCTAGCGGTGTTGTTGTTGTCAGTGTGGACAACTGTTGTTGGTATATTGGTGGTGTGGCATATGCAGATGGTGGCGTTGTTGATGCTGTGTTGTTGTTGTTATTGTTGTTGTTGTTGTTATTATTATTTGTATTATTGTTGTTATTGTTGTTGAAGAGGCCAATGTTAATGGTGGTGGGCGGGGGTTCATCGCCAGCATTATCGCTGATCGCTTGCGGATTAACGTATCCCGATAAACGACGCACATTCAATGGCGTCAGGCGGTGTTTCAGCTCATTTTGTGTGGATTTTGTGGATGGTGTTGGTGTGGATGGTGTTGATCCTCTTGTTGTGAATGGTGTGTCTGTGGATGCTGCTGGCTGGCTGGGATTGTGCGGCAAGTTTGTCTGATCGTTGGGCAGCGACATTTTAGCATTGGTTTGGCGTGTGTGTGGACGTCGTGTCGTGTGTGGTGGTCTTTACGTGTCGGTGTAGAGCAGCCCCAAACGGTTGGCGTGCATGCGAGTGTCTGTTCGTGTGCGGAGGCCTATTCTCAAGCGAGTATTCGCAACTGAAACTCATCGACTAAACTATGTTTGAACTAAATCCTGAGTGTCTAAGCTTTGAAACTATTTATTTAATTTAAAACAACGGAAAATAAACGGATAACACAAATCATAAACTGTGCTCTAATAAATATTGTTTTTTTTTTTTTAAGGTTTACTTGTCTATGGGCTTTGCATACTTTTTGTTTTGGTTTTTTTCTTTTGTTTTTTAACCTATCGCTAAACACAAAAAAGATATCACAAAATTGTTTTATTTTAGATAAATAAGTTAATAAGTTAAGAATTATGGAAAGTGCATTGATTGCTTTTCAGTATTACGTAGGCCTACGTTTTGTTTTCTTTTTAATTTAAGAATGTATGAAAAGTATAAATCGGAACAAGAATTGAAAGAATCCGGAGAATCGTTTGGTTTACATTGTATTGAAAATATGGGGAATGTTGGGGCGCCGTGTGTGTGTCGCAGGATGTGTGCGTCGTAATGTCCGTAGTTTCTGGGGGCCAGGATGTTCTGGGTTAAGTGAGAGGTAGTAGGTAAGTAGGTAGTTGGGTAGTAGGTAGAAGGACTGAGGCTGAGGTTGAGAGGTTGAGCTTAGTCACCGGACCGTTGATATGGCTGCAAGGCAACAACAACAACGCATTTGGTTTATTTCTTGTTTAACGTATTCATTAAAAATTCGGTTGAATAAAATACTACAGATTGGCTGGAACGTGGAATCATTGGAAATCAAGAAAAGCAACAAAAGATCGGGTCACAAATCTACAAAAGCAACAATAGTCAGTTTTAGTTTTTAACTAGTTTGAACTGGAACTCTTATTGAGATTCAGTGAGTTCTGGTGGGCTTTTGGCTAATAAAGAATATATCTTATAAATTTTTACTAAGGATTCAGATATTAACAACTTTTTGTAATTCGCGTATAATTAATATTACAATTGATTTTTAAATGATCTGATAAAAGTTTATATTCAGAACATAGATATAGAAATGTTTTTTATTACTTGTAGGAAAACGGTTTACATTCAATTTTTTTATTGTATGTAAATAATTAAAGTTTAATTGAATTTATTTTCAATGGCTATTGATTTTCTCAATTCATTACCTATTTCTTTATTTTCAGAGAGTAACTGACCGGCCCAAACAATTTACTTGCGACTTCCGCGAGGCCGAGGAACTGAGAGACCCTGACCAAGTTGTTGAACATTTTTTTTTTTTTTTGGTTTTTGGTGGACCTGTTTAATAACAATTTCAGAGATCGTCTTTTTGTGTGTCTATGTTTGCCCGAATGAAATGATTTGGAGAGAAGGGAACGGCAAAGTTAACCAGTTTGTTTGCACCCCAATATAAATAGCAAGTTATTAAATCCTTTTAGCTTTAATATTTCGTAGTTTCCCTGCAGAGCCTTAATAGCTCATTTTCTAATTTTAAGAGACTTTATTGAATCTATAGACTTTTCACAATATCTCCATCGTCACACTCACACCTGTCGGCGATAAGATTTTAATTTAGCTTATTTGCCAACGCGTTGACAACAGTTGGACACAATAAATTGCATCCACTTGGCTTTGACAACTGGAAACAGTATAAAAAACCGGTGACAGGGATGATTGAGAATCGATTTTATATCAAAAGGGGTCCACTTGAGACAGCATGGGTTTTTCGCGATTTTTTTAGTGGGTTCTTATCCCCGTAAATTAAAAGCCTTGCGCTCGATAATTTAATATAGCGTCACAAATCAGACCCACGCGTCGGCTACGTAATATAAGTATATAAATCCAGTTATTCTGTTATTATTTTTATCTGGGTGCACTTGAAAATGTCGCCACAAGCCGCTAAGAAAAAACCAAGCCGTTGCTTACATCAATATAGATCAACCCATTATGAAACATTATCAATCAGTGAAACAAAATAAGAAACAGTTTTCAACTGAAGTACATAGGTATGTATAAAACACCAATTTATGGAATGTTGCCGAGGGAAGCACACGCCCATTGATAAGCTCCCTGGTTTTTCCTTACAACAAACGCAATAAATTCAGAGTAGTGGCTAAAATAGTCGCTGACTAACTCAGTTCCGATTGCAAAAAGCCACAATACCTGTTATTAGGAAAAAGGTTCCCAAACCAATCTTATCGGTTATTGGTCGATTTCGATTGCCTCCGATTAGTAGGAAATTGGTGGAGAGGCGTCGTAGAGCAAGACTCACTATATCAATCCATAAACAATGCAACGATGGACGGAAGATTTCCTGCACAACGCAGAAACACTTGTCAACAGATAATGGGAATGCATATAATGGCAGCGAAAACATTCCGTATCAATGGTAAATTCAATATTTGAACTGTCAATTTATTTGCCATCTTCTTGTCAGGCGCTAAGCGCAAAGCGTTAAGCTTCTTTCTCTGTGCTAAGCGTTTGTTAACACCCTCTGATTCACTTCTGCTTGTTCTGGTCTATGGAAAATTTATGGTTTTCTTTCAAACGAACTAGTAAACTTATATATTTCTATTTTAAAGGAATTTCAATCATCAAAACGAATAGCTATTTGTTGTAATCCAACCAATATCTAAAAGCATTTTCAAAGTATCCCTAACCCACAAACGGCAGCCAAACACGGAACCTCTTAGAGTCAGACATAAGTTATATATTACATGTCTGATAGGCTTATCAAACTAAAGCCAATCAACTATCCGAACAGCTAAAGAAAAAAATAAACGAACGGTGAAGAGAAATGAAAAATTCAATTGCATTACGTATACGCGGCGTGCCCAGAAACAGCCAGTACTCATAATTACTGGTTGGTTGTTTTGGGTTTCTATTTTTGTACGCAAAACAGTTAAGACTGCTGATATATGTTTTACAATAATAAAGAAAATATCGCCAGCTTGTTATTGTTTTTCCCTTTTATATGTATAGTGAACAACATAAAAATAAGGCAAATATTTAATGATTTCCTCATAACTAGTGTTTTATATTCAAATATGTTCAAGAAGGAAAAGCCGAGAAACAACTGCTATTCGCGTTACATTTACGCAGCTTTTTTCAGGCAAACCCAATTTCGTTTTACGCTTTTCAAGTTCAAAGTCAAGCGAAACACGTGGGTGCATTTGGGGACTACATTGAAATTCATTTCTTTTCGCTACTCTTCGCATGCGGAACTCGTATCGCAATTATACTATATTATAATTTAGCCAACGGATCGGGTCGGCATATAAATGCACCTTGATTAGTGGATCAGCCGCTGTCACAATCAATAGAATTTGCCGCCCTTAAGTTATTTTTTTTGAACATTTTCTTATCGTTGTCGAGGAGTTGCCAATTGATTTTCAATGGTTATTGTTTTACGACTCAATCGTTTAAATGCCAAAAGTTACATTTCACTCTTCTTTCTGTTTTCGGTATATGTACGTTTTATTTTTTCCCTTTTTGTTTTAAGTTGGCAGACGATTTGTCTGCAAAATTCCAGTTGGTTGTGGAAATTTACGAAACGGCAAGATCAGGTTTTTTTGGGAACCAGTTCCACATGTGCAATGGCTACACTGAACTAGTTCCAATTTTAATATTTATTTTAACCAATTTATTTGCATTTTTCAAAATCTTAAGGAGGGAGTTAATAAAATACTAAAAAAATAAAATAAAATAAAAACAAGTTTAGAATTTGAATGGTGAAAACATATTCGAGCTGTCATAGAAGTCGAACTATTTTAAATTTAAAATTAACAAAAATAAATAAAAAGTAAAAATGAATGAAAAATGGTTTTTATACGTTTTTAAAACCTTTTTTTTAATGGAAGGTTTTTTTTAACAAATAACTGCTTTAAACTATGGTGCACAACGAATTTTCTTAAGTAAGGCCAATTCCCTCAACATAAAGTTTAACATACATATTTTATGGCCAAATATAAAGAGATTTCAACCTATCTTGGGCACTAAAAAATATTAAGAATAGTATTCAGACAATAATCCCAGAACCCACAACATACTTTACGACCAAGCGCCCCATTATAAAATATCATTATCTAAGGGTTCCGCATGGAGATCGCGTATCAAAGGATGGCAATGGTTTCGCCGAAAATAAACAGTTAATAAACCAAGCAATCTTCGCTGGTCAAGATCCCAAGGTTAAAGTGACAAGTCTAAGCCAAAAACTGATAATAAATCAATTTACTGGCATATAATTACTTATTTTTTTTTCTAATTCTGCACAGCGGTGATTAGATTGCAGGAAAAAGATTAATGATATACTATATAACAACACAAAAAAAGACGAGATTTGGCGAGATTTCTATGATGGAGATACAAATGTCCAAGTGGTCATCATATGGCGCACATTTAACCCAAGAATGCCCACAGTCATTGTCGGCGTTAATTAGCAAAACGTGCGCTAAATATTAAATGTGCGATGATGTCCCGGGCTAATTTCTATTAAGTGCGCTTAAAAAGTAGCTTTGCACTTCTCGGGCAGATATATAATGTAAGGATATATACACGAGCATATGTTGTATGAATAAACTGTTCCCAGGGTTCATTAAAAGCGATTTTGCATCAGTTTTAATTTGCCCTCCTGTGCTAAGTACTTTTGTACTAGGAAATGCATTTTAAATTGGTTTAAATACTCTGTATTTAAAAAGTTACAGGGTGTATGGATTTTGGATTCTACACAATTTAAATCTAAATCAACTAAAAGTTTTGCAAGAAATATCCGTAGTATTTCTTTATTACTCTTCATTAAACAAGAAGTTTCAACAGATCTTCAACCTCAAATTAAAAAACAAAAAAAAAAAAATAACCATAAAAAATCATACAATTGCATGTGGATATGCAATTTTATGATTTTTTACGGTTATTTTTTTTCTTCCTCTTCATCTTTCAATAACACCGCACAGAAAATCCATTTAAATGCCAACTAGCCGGCATTTAGCATTCGAAAACCCAAACGCAATCGTATGGGATTTGACTATTTATGATACATTTCTCACGCTGCAGCGGCAAAAACGTGCGACCCACTGGTCGGCTACGTAATATAAAAATGTTATTAATCCACAATAAAAAAATATATGAATAAGTATGCAAATTGTTCACGTGAACACCAAGTTGGGCTCATCTCCCCGCCTCATTTGCATGCGATGTAAACGAACTTTGGGCAAAAGAAAAAAACTAAAAGCAAAAGAAAAAGAAACAATCGCATTCGAGATTGAAACGCTTTTCATTTCACTTTACAGAGAATCATTTTCTGGGACTTGGCAACAGATAAAAACTAAATAAACAAGTCTTTCATATGGGATTCGCGCTTTTTTGTCTCGGTTTTATGGCTTTTATTTTGTTTTATTGTTGCGTATGACGCAGGTGAAATCGAATTCGATTCTGAACACAATCATTTTTGGTTAATGAATTGCCTTGTCAGCCCTAGAGACCCAAAAAACAAAAATAATAAAACACTGTATACTCATTTACCTGACGAAATGAGCGAAACAAACAAATTGTTTGGCCGTAAATTCGAATAACAAAATTATTCACACAAGTAACCAGCTAACCGGCTTGGCTTATACCATATATTAATAAATCTTCCTAAGGTGTAAAGTGTAACGAAATGATATCGAAAAACTGGAACTCGAACCAAAATTGAAACTGTTTTAAATGTCATTCAACTTGCCATTAATGCGTGAATTAAAAACAGCATTTGAGATCAGAGGAGAATTTAAACAACAGGTGCCTGAACGAAATATATTGTTATTTTCGAATCTAACTCGTGGGAAGATTGCTGATTTCCTATTTGTTTCTTTTCGAACTAGTGTATTTATTTCTTGAGTCTCTTTGTTTGAATGCTGGTTGGTTTAGTTAAATTAAGGTATGAGTAATCTTGTACTGATTTAAAATAATTTATTGATTCACTGTGTTGACGAATTCCCAAACAACAATTACTCGCGAATTCCGAGATTCCACACAGTTGTTTTGTACTGAATTGATCTATTTAATTGATTGATTCCGTAGTCATTACGATTTTGGATTAAATAACTTTTATAACAGACTAAAAAAATAACAGTCACTCTGTACTTTATCCAATATGTTTGGAAAGCAATAAACAAAATAACAATCTCTTTAATGTTACAGGTACAATTTAACTTGAATAATAATGTTTATTTAAAGGCGTAAAAAATTTATAAAATTCTTCCGCTTTGGGGAACACACATTTTTGGGGTTTCCCCGCCCCGAAAATTCAGACCTGATCGACCTTGCCCACCCAGTTACCCAGTTTGCAATCTGCAGCCGTCTTAGTTAGCTAAACAAAAGCAAGTGAATGGCAATAGCCCACTGGCTTACTAGAAATCAGATTGAAGCCCGAGCAAAGCTCATTAACTACACGCAGCAGTTGGTCACTATATCTTTATATAATACACATGCCGGAAAATTGGGGAAGTCAGTCGGCTTTTGTAGATTCTCAAAAGGGAGAAATCCAATCAAAGCGAATTTAAACGGCTTCGTTTAATCATTTCAAACCAAAACCCTAGACGTGGAGACATTGAGCCCCCCGCCAAAGCATAAAATCCAATTCGAAAAGCCAACTTAAAATGCAATTTGGCCGTGAAAACGAAATACCAGCAAACATAAATTAATTATTATTGTTAATAATATTTTTTCTTTTGTTTTGGTTTTCTTCTTTGTATTAACTATGCATAAATTCAAAGCTTTTCAGCCTTTCGATTCAATTTGTTTCGACTTTGTAAAGCTTATTTTTTTTTTGTCAGTTAAGGTTGCTCTTTATATACGTGGTTATACTATTTATAGTATTTTAATAGTTTGGTTTCGAGCCTCTGTTAGCGAACAAGAAAACGGTTTTATATTAAATTCTGAAAATTCAATTCTTATTTGATTAATGACTGCAAGTTTAGAGTTGATAAATGAAGTGAAGAATTTCTTGCGGAATTTTCTTGTATCAAATTGTGTCAAAGTCATAATTCAAATAAATTTGCTTGGGTATTTTTTAAGCTGCTTGATTTTATAATACTTAAAAAAACATATAAATAAATAGTTTAATTCAAAAACCAACAAGTTTTTGTATAAAACAGAACCGTCTTAAATTTAAATTCAAAGATCAATAGTGTGAGATGATCTGAGGATCGTTTTAAGAAAATCTAGACAAAAAGAAATCCACGCCAAGTGTAAACCATCGATCAATGACAAACGATTGGCAAAGCCCACAAAAACTAAAAAGTATTGCCAAAAACTTGTTAACCAATTCGCTTTGCGAGTGGGAGAAACGACACGAAAGACTAGAAATATGAGATCCGAACGGATTCTGCCCGCTTTCAGTACCCCAATTAACGTTAGTAATAATTTAAAAGTGCCTCAAAGATTCCTATTCCAATGATTTCCGCCTTTCAATCTTTTGCTTGGTGATTGTTCAAAATCGTGGCTTACATTATCAGCTGTATTTTCTTGAGGTTTTGTAAATTCACTGGGTTTTTTTCTTCGATTTTTTCTTTTTTTTTTCTGTTTTGGGAAACTTTTGTGTGGGCACTTTTAGCACGTGTATTTTTTAACTACTGATTGAGGTATGTTTTTTGTACTGATAATGACTTTAATTTTGTACTTTTTGTTTTGTCACAATAAAAAAATTGTTTCAAGTTTAATTGAAAACTTTATCGCGTTGGTCTTTGCAGTTTTTAAAGGTGGTTAGTTGTGTTTATTTTTTGCATAGGATTTTTTGGATGTTTTTTGATCGGAACGTGTGAGGCGAAAACGTTGTCTGCACCGTCCGCCGGGATATCGCACACTGAATGTCCAAAGACGGCAAACACTTGTTATTATAACGCGTCAAAGCGTTTCCATTTAGCGACGACTGCGACGCCGACTGCGGCAGCGACGCCGGCAGCGGGCTCATCGCTCGCGAGGAACAGAAAAAAAATAAAAAAAAAAACAAATTTAGATGACGATGCTGACGCCCGAATCTGGCCCGAATCAATAAGCCACTTGGGCCTGTCGTCGGTTTTGATAAGACTTCGATCGAGATCGGCTCTCAGAGATAGCGTCAGCGTCGGCAGAAGCAGCGACTGCGACTGCGACAGTGGCAGCGACGCTAGCGCTGGCAGAGCCGAACGATACGACAGGTGAACATTTACGCGCTCTCGAGTTTTACTGTTATCAGCCACGATCGCATATCGAGTGCATGAATGAAATTACAGCTAAAAGAAGTCTTCATAGCTTAACCGTTAGCAAAACCGAGTTATCAAAGAGTTAAGTTTGTCATATAATCAGAAGAACACTGACAAAAGAAGAATTCGTTTAAGAGAAGTCGTAATTACTAGAATATCGAGTAGAAATTATAAAGCCATTATATGTGAAACAGAAAAATTGTAAAAGAGGAATTTATTTATTAAAATAGAAATAATTTTTCAGACAAGAAATTAGCTACCAGCTCATCTTCAAAACAAATTGTATGTACCTTAAAAATGGTATAATCAAGAAGGGATACAACAACTGCCGGAAAAGCTTAAGAAATGTTAAATCTCTTCGCAGAAGATTCTCATAAATTCAAGAAAAACTAAAGGGTGCTTCCTAAATTAGGGTTTTGGGAAAATCCCCTTGTAAGGAAATGCAACTATAAAACCCCAGAGAGAAAAGATCAATCACCGGCGACGGATCACCTGCGCTCGCGGTTTAGTCGCCGCGCGAACGTTTCGCTCGTCGCGTAGACCGTTAGAATGAGAAACACCCGAAGAGGTGAGCGAACAACAGGCAACTTCGGCCGAAACTTCGTGACCGTTCGTGGCGGTTCGTGATAATTGACAGTGATTTTTGACAGTTAGTTGGCTCATTACCCGTTCATAATGTGCCGCAGGCAACAGGTCGTATGAGCGATGCGAACGCGTAATTTCCAACCGAGAATTATCCATGATTTACTATCACCACAGCCCTTTTTGCCCCTTTTTTTTAAGTATTTGCGTCAGAAATTTAAATAAACTTTTTTAAATTATTGGGGAAACCACGGCGTATGAGTGATGTCAACTTGTCTTTTTTCACAAAACGTTATCTAAGATTTACAAGTATAATAAAACTTACACTAAATGCTTACTTTATAGGTTAAGCATTTTTTTTCAAAGCAATATTAGACTTCGCAACTCTAAAATTAAAATATGAGACAAGTTGGAGAACTGATAATAAAAATACATAGTAACATTTCTAATTAGTTCAATTCATCACAAACCATCTCTATTGTTTACGTACATTATTTTAATACATTTTCGAACTTTGCTCTGTTCTGTTCATGTCAATTTTAAATATTACTTATTTCAGAATAAAAACATAATTGTTTTTAAGATTCATCAATACATTTGCTAACTCAAACAGCTAACTCCTTTTTAAACTTCTAATAATTCCCCATTCAAATCTCTTACGTCGTAAAATAGATTACTTAACTCAAAATAAGAAATGAAATGGTTAATGTGACACTGGTTGAACCAGGGGTAAGAAAAAAGCCACAAGAAAATAGGTGGCCAGCAAACATGGAAAGTGTTTTAAACTTTGGCACTCGATTGTGAAGCAAACCGTCAATTCAACATTGTTGGTTTGTTTGTGTGTGCCAAGATCCAAACGAAACGAAAAACTATGCAGCATCTGTACTTGATTTTATTTGTACTTCGTTTTATTTTATTTACTTATTAAAAGCCTTTTTATTTCATTTTTTCGATAGACAAAACTGGTTTTTCACACCCGGATGAAATGTGCGAGAGAGTCGAAGTCCAAGACCCGAAAACAAAACACCAAAAGCGTACGCCCAAACATCTGGCGTGTGGAATCTCGATTGGAAGCCGCCGCGGGGCTTTAATTAAGATTTGAATTCCGAATTGAGAATTGAATTCGCTTGGCTTTCAGGATGTTGTGAAGAGCCATATCTCAATGGATGACCGCATGAATGAACCGAAATAATGGCTTCACGTTTACAAATAGTTTTTGATTATAAGCCCTAACGTAAACATACTGTAAGGGAATATAATCACGAAGCAAAGAAGGTAACCCAATGTTTGTTTACTGTGATTGGAAGCGAATTTGCGTATTTGGGACACTAATATGTATTTAATAAAAAGCGGATACATTTGTAATACATTTTAGGAATGACTACATCCACTTTAAAATTGCTTACTTTTGTGAACTTACTTAAAGCATTGAATTAGGTCATCTGGCAAAAAAAATGGAAATGTATAACATAAGTACGCTTCCATATTAAAATGCATTAATAGGATCTAAATAAAATAAATACATACTATGAAAAATAGAATCAATTTTGTTTTGAGTCACCAAAGTGGATAAGCAATAAATTACCTTGTCGTACTTGCATGTACTTATTTTATTCTGGGATTTAAACAAAGAAGGAATTGATCAGAAAACATCCCCCATGGGGACTTCCCTCGAAAACATACCCATTATTGAATGAGACATGCAATGGTTCGCCCGACCCTCTTTTTTTTGTGGTACAGTTGCCACCTGAACTTAAACAGGGAAGTACGATATCGATCACAAGCGAACAAATAGCGGGTGAAAATAAAACAATAAAATAAATACAAACAACCTGACAAAAGATACATTTACCGCTTATCAGAGATACTACGGTTTTTCGGGGAATTCGGAGGGGAAAGAGGCAGTGGGTCATTTACATAGTTGACATCGTTGAGCTCGCTGCCTTTTTGTTTGTAATTTTTGTTGTGTTTGTCGAGCAAATTACTCGAATGGAATTGCTTGTAGTGTATCGATTGGCAATTGATGAACTGCCGTTGGGTTTTTTTGTGGGAGGAGGGCTGAAAAATGGGCGGTGGGTGGATTTTTTTTTTTTTTTTTTTTTGATCTGGGGAGAGGCGTTTGGTTCAATCAAATTGCCCAGCAGATAATTACGATCAACGGATCGCCGCTAGATTGGTCGGCAAATTGTTGACGTTTTGCTAATCTACACAGAAAATAATTTTTAAATGTTTAAAAAACTCAAATTAAAGAAACATTCTTGAAAAATTTACTAAATTACATATATTTAAGAACCAGATATCTACTTAACAAAAAAAATTTTGTTGGCTTGGTTCCAAGTTAGCTGATTTGATTTTTTTTCGTAACCTATTTTGTGAAGAAAATGTTTATGTATTAATTATATTTTTAGTCGTGTTAAATAAAATAATTTTAATTATTTTTTCATTTAGAACCACGCATTTTTTTTCGGTGTGGGTAAACCTTCAACTTGAACTAGGGATTGAGAGACCTGTTTTGAGCTGTGCACGCGATTGAAATAAAATTAGCAGCTGCAAATTGCAACATGAATTATTACGCCACGGTCCCTTGGCCTTGAACCCCATCACTCCCCGCTCTTCACTTAAATTCCTACCAATTATACAGATGTAATGAGCTTTAATTGTGTTTAAGGGAAATTGTGTTTAAGTTTGCACACCAAACTATGTATTGACAGGTGGCAGAAACAAAAGACGAATACAACAAAGTACTTGCGAAAACACACATCTGGAGATGTGTGTTTGACGTTCGACACAATCTTATCGCGAAAGATGTGCATATTAATTGCATACGAGCATTTTGCCTAACAAACGATTACTTCGCTCTGTGGTTTCTCCACCGAAAAGAAAACGACACACAGACATAATCTATAGGATGAAAAATACCAGAGATAAAGAGATACTTAGATGGAAAACAGACACGTAATTTGGCTATGGGTGTAACACCTTCGAGTGAGTCATCGCGGTAAAGACCCACAGCGTTTAGGAATTCTGGGTGGAATACCCCACAATTGGTTGTGAATCTCCGTGGATATGTCGGAAATTCTGAAACTTTTTGCTGATAATTCCAGGCGGAATAAAAAAGGTAAGTTACCTTATCATTTGACCACACCATAAAGCCAAATGCAAATTACTGCATAAAGCAACTATCCGAACAAATATAAATATCGATATATGGAAATCTTTTAAAACGAATTAATAGCACAAAGTGGATCCTATACCTTGCATTTTTCATGACTGTGGGATTTTAAAGGCTGTCGAAAGCAGCAGAAGAAAATGCCATTGGATGGATTATTTACTACTTTGAGCAATAAATTCTGCGCAGGTGCTCAAAGCCAGAAATAATTTTTATTGTAACTCTTTTGTATTAAATTGTATGGGTAACTAAAACCTATTTTAAAGTTTATATAGATTAATAATATTATTAACTCTTTGGAAAGCCCAATTGTTATTAATTTCAAGAAAACAATTTTCAAGACCAAAACAGTACTCGTACGCCAAAGATAATCGGAGTTATCAATACCGATTGGGTCACCTGTTCAGGTTCTTTGACTGCACATGACCATGGGTGAATCAGGTATTATTTTCCAATGGTTGGGATCTGATCCCACTGATCAACTAACATTGAAAGTGGTTTAAAAGGCCACTGGCTACGATTGGCGAGATAATGGTTATCAACCGAACGGACCTGGCAGAATCTCACTGGACATAAGTACTTTTTAATGACGCAAAGGTGAAGACCAAAATCAGAAGACACAGGTACCCCACCCTTCCAACTCCCCATCTCTTGGACACTTGAAAGATACAATCGATCGAGACTATAAAAGTACTATAACGGCACTGAAGATACTCTATCTATAGCACTTATAAGGATTTTTAGGATTATGTTTCCATTTTAAAGTACATTTCCTTGTAGGTTCTTTTTCAAAAAGCCTCATTTTATGGATAATGGTTAGTTCTAGTTCTAGTTCATTGATATTTATAAATGAGATGCAATGCTATATTGGAGTGCCACGAA